CGTTCAACCTACAAGTGGTTTGGTATCGGGAGAAGGGGGTCGGAAAGACCGGGGCGGAAAAGGATCGCGGGCGGGTTCGGAAGTCCGGGGGTCAGGAAGGGATAGGCGGGGCGGTTGGGGTGCAGGCGTAGTGAGGGAGCGCCATCTGGCGATCGGTTAAACATGGCCTTGGACAGTCAATCGTGTATGTGTCTTTCGTTTTCTTTTCTCAATCTTGGATCGTGCTGTCTGGATGACCAACAATACCAATTCAGTCTCGGCGAACGGGAATAATTGTAGCTCCAACGCTAGGTATCGATCGGGCAGCACAAAATGACTCGACGTCAGTCTACAGACGGACAAGAAATGCGAACAGCACACAGGCATTCGAATAGCCTCGTTGTGAGAAGGTGCATTCCACGCGCAGTCTAGTCTCGGTTGCGTAGTCAGGCTAATTGACTCGGGCGCCAACCTCAAGCAATATTATTCGCAGTCCATGAGATGCACACAATCACACGATAAAGACGAATTCATCGATGGCGTTGGTTCTACCAAGCACTGCTGGACAGTATTGCAGACACTTGGACCAGCGTCGTGGAGTGTAGTGTATCGCCACTTCGAGGAGATTGGTCATGTCAGCAGGGTACGTACTCCATTGTGAGATTTATCACGCGGGTTCATCATCGACAAGAACGAGAGCCGCGTCAATGGGCACACCAACAAAGCTGAGTCTTTGTCCGATACCGCACTCACCAATGCAAGAGGGAGTTCGGGTCGTCGTTTCCCTCCCGCCTTCCTCCCTGTGGAGAAAATACGCTTTCCCTTGCCGGGCTTGCCATGAAGCTAAGCTCTGACCCGGCGGAAGATGCTTCCCGGCTTCGATCGGGGCTTCGGTGCGGTAGGAAGTGGCGAGGCAAGTTGACAAGATAAGTTCTTCCAATTATGTTTAGGGTCGTTTGATGGTTGGACACGCAACGATCGAAATGACGCGGAGGATAACGCAAAGCAGGGAATAGAGCTCAACGTTTGGGCCCAATCTTTCGCAATGGAAACAATTTTTCTAGGTCGGACTATTGTTCGCAGATTTGTATGGCCCAGGGACAAGTGGCAATTCATCTTTCCAGCATCAGGTCTGTGGCTACGAAGGGCACTTTGAGCATAGAGGCTGTGGTGCGGATTAGGGGCACGCCGCCCTACTTGGGCATGCCGCTCAAAGAGGAGATATCACTGCATGCAGAAAAGTGGGTGGGATTCCTTCAAGTGACGTGCCCAAGGGCTGAGGAGAGAGTGTCTAATCTGCTGCAGGGAAGACAGGGGGGTGAGGGAGTGCAAGGTTGTCTGACAATCGTTTGCTACTCGATGCGATTCGATTGTCCTTGTTTTGGACAGATCGCTACAGTCTCGGACAAGTACCTTGGGACGAATGCTGCTGGACTCCTGATGGTTTGCGGGCTATGCCCCCCCTCCGTGTCTATCCTGGGGGGAGTGGAGCGTAAGCGACAGGGTGATCGCGAAGTTTCACCACCACCATCGCTTCCGTCGCCTTGCTCGCCGCTTTCCTTCTCCCCTTCGCTCCCACCTCCTTCGTCGCGAGAGCAACCGCTACCGTCAGGGCTACGCGAGCTTCGTTGCTGCTTTTTCGAGCCGAAGGCAGCACTGTTGCTATGCCCACCACCATCTTCACCACCGCACGCTGCTTCTGAAAACGCTTGGGTTCGAACAGGCGAGCTGGTGGTGCCCTTTGGCATGCGGATGCCACCGCCGCCGCCGCCGCCGCCACCGGTCCCTTCGGGTATTGCGGCCGGTAGAACTGCGTTCAAGCGCAACACTGGGTTTCCAGGATCAGAGACCCTCCTACCAGTCACCTCGCCACCGCCGCTCCCGTTGCCACCTTGAGAGGGAGACATAAAAGAGGACGGTCGCCACCTGCCGGAACGCGGCAATCCGCTTTTGGCGGAATCGGCCCTGGCGTTGTCGGGGGTGGGACCGCGCCTCTCGGCGCTAGCGGTATCGTTGACGTCGCGGAATAGTGCTGAGTCGTCTTCTCCGGAACGAGAGGCATAAGGGGGCGTCGTGAACGACTCCACAGCATCGGAAATGAACAAAAACTGAGGGGAAAACGCGGGTCGGTGGGATTGGTGGCCACGCGAAAGCGGCGACACGAGGGGGGAGGCGGCAGGGGAAGATGGGGAGTAAGGAGCAACGTTGGTGGTAGGCGCCAATCAACGTATTACGTCGAGAAAAGATATTCCACACACAGCAGGTGGCCCGGAAATGCCGGTAGTCGACAGCCGATTTCACCTGCAGTGTAGCGGGAGACTGGCATTTTACAGAATCGGCCTCAATAATGCCGGTTCCAGCATTTACTGAGGGTCTGGATTCCGCTATACTTCCGGAACCAGCACTATGCAGGAAACCGTCTAGTTACTCAATACAAAACGTTAGCACACACCACAAGCATCAGGTGATGGGGAAAAATGACAGTGAATGCTGTGACAGGAGGTTTGGTATTCACTGGCCAACAACCCCCCGAACCGGCATTATACTAGCTTGAAGTGGTGCCAGCCGATTTCACCGGCATTATAGCAGGCAACCGGCATTATTCGACCGGTATTATATCGGGCCACCTACTGTAGCGAATAGGGGGTAATAGAGCAAGAGAGGGGGCGGGAGGTTTGGAGCCTCGTTTCGACTAATAGCCTTTCTGGATCCGGAGTTATCTTTCGCTAAATCATGGTTAGCGCTGGAAAACACGGTGGGCACTGCACCCAATCCTCCGATGCCCCGATTCTGAAGGAGGGTTGGCATCAACGAAGGAACCGTCCCTCCTCCGCGTCGGCAAGGCGCACGTGGCATCGGTGCGCTGTACTATGTGACATGTGTTTCGGAGCTAATAGACAACGCACCGCGGATATTTGTCAGTTTCGCGTGAGAGGGCGTGCATCTCGACCGAACGTCGAACTCATCACCCATGTTATGGAAGTTTCGCCGGTAAAAGGGGGGGTGGGGATCAGTCCACCTTCCCCGTGAAACCGCCACACTGCAGCAGCAAGAACAAACTCTGCTTGCGGCGTGAGCCCCGCTTAGGCTTTTCACACCACGCCCTGCCTTTTGCCCTCTCCACTCACCACGCTGTCCCTGATCTCCAGCGTCCATACCAGTCGGAGGCCGTCCAACACAACCAAGTTCGTTGCCCCCGGAATGGAAACAACGTCTTTCTCTCCCGAGGTTCCCGGCGAGGGAGCTACGGCGACTTTACGGTCAGGCACCGCACCGTCGGGGGCCGACGACGTTGCCGTCCCCGGTCGTGGCGGTAGCAGTGGGGTCCGAGGAGAAAGGGGTGGGGTGGGGCTCGACATCGACGGCGGCTTCGCCGAAGGGGACGCGCACGATGCCCGGCGACCGGGAAACCCGACGTTCTTCATGATCCCTCTGCGGGGGCTCCGCGACGTGTCCTCGAGGGGGGTGGCCGCGGCTTCCTCGCTCGCTGCTCCCCCTGCCCCCCCGGTTGTTTTCGGCGGTGCTGCTGCAGCAGGTGGTGGTAATACGAGCTTCGCCGCCGACCGGATTCTTGCCAAGCTGTTGCCCAAGAAGCCGGCGGCGAGCTTCGGTTGTTGCCGGAGACCTTCGGGGTCTGGTGGGACGTCGGCCGCAGCAGGCGACTGGTTCTCTCCGGCGTTGTGGTTGTTCTTGGCTTCGTGTTTTCCAAATGCACAAGCGTCGCAAGTAGCGGCAGCGGCGTTGTCGCCGACCGTATGACTTCCGCTCCCGGGGGCCGCCGGCACAGAAACCCCTGATCCCTTCGCAGCAGCAGAGGGTTTACCCGTGACGCCAGCATTGGCGCGGGGGCGCGGAGGAAGAGGGGGAGGAAGAGAAAGAGGGCTAGGGCAAGGCACGAGCCCGCCACCGACCGGCAAGCCGAGTTTTCTTGCGTTCCCCGTCGGCCCCGCCGTCGCGACGCCTACCGTTGTACCGACGACCACGCTAGCCGTTCTTGGCGTTGTAGCTGCTGCTGCTGCTGCTGCTGCTGCTGCTGCTGCTGCTGCTGCTGCTGCCGTTGGTGCTGCTGGTGGAGGTTTGGGCCCGCCCTTTCTTTGGAAAACGAGTTGTTCGGCCCGAAGGATGGCGCTCTTGTCAGCAGCGCCTGAAAGGGAGCGGTCTAGAGAAGCGAAGAGGTCGGTGCTCTCTCGTTGCCGGCCAGCCTTTCGGTGGAGCGACGAGGGAATTGGGGGAACGTGCCGCACGTGCGAAGGGAAGGGTAGGGGGTGAATGAAAGAGTGGGTGGATCGGTGGACTGCATACTGCAGTCGGATGTTGGACGCGATATGCTTAGGTACAGCAGATCGAGGAATGATTCGCATTGCCCAAGTATGAATCGATCGCTTTATACTCCAAAAAATAGAAAACAGGTTTCGCGAGTGCTAGTTCAGACAACCATAATTCTTCGGCATGTTATGGTGCGAACCTATAGACCTTCTTGAAGGTGCGCCTTCGATTCCAACGCCTTTCGAGCATAAGTGAATATTTTCTACCTTGCCATGAGTGGACGTGGTGGGGAGGCGAGGAGCACCCCGACTGTCACGGTAGGATTGGCGCCGACCGATCCATATGCGAGACAGCCTTCGCCCTCCGAAGGAAGGAGGGGACGGGGGCACGCACTCCCCTCCTTCACCACTCTCGCGGTTACCGTTGGCATGCGAGGGGTCGTCGAGGGCGACGTCGAGTCGAGAAAGACGGACAGCATAGAGGCGCAGCTCGACGTGTTTCCCGCCACTGCCGCTGCTGTCGCCGACGCTGCTGCTGGTTGAGGCATCGATACTGTTCGTATGGAGGGGGGCGGGCAAGCGAAAATGGTTGAAGGATGATAGACCTACCAAAAAGGAGAAAATTTTCGACCCTGTCGGGCAAGGTGGGTAACAGGAATGTCATTGCAATGAAGCACCAAAGCTATATAGAGTGGGTATTTCACACGGCGTGGTTCGTGGTTGCGGGGGTAACGATGGTTAACCAGCAACCGATTCTTATTCTGCCGGCGGCACGGCGTGCGCACTCACTGCCAGGTGGAAACTGCGAAGCATGTGGGTCTACTGCGAAACACACCATGGGCAACTATCGGAAGCCAAGCCCTACGTACGCGCGCGGTAGGGGAAGAAGGAAACCGAACACACAAGCATGACATAGAGAGTCAACCAACCTGTCAATGTCCAACGCAAACCCGTCACGGTTGTCGGCTCCCCTCCACGTCGCGAGAGCGAGCCCGCGCACGGACGCGCGCACGCTCACGGACTCGACCAGCCTTAAGATGCTGGCTTCCTCAGAGTCCTCGGTAGGCTCCGAGACGTCCGGCGTAGTTCTTTGTGCGGTTTGAGGAGTTGACCTCGTTGCTGCTGAGGCCGCAGCAGCCGTCGCCCCGTGTCTCGAGTTTTCCCCCAGCGGCGTTGCGTAGGACATCTGTGTCTCGAAGTCGTCGGTGGCGGCGGTGGCGGTGTCGGCGATTGGGAGTGGCATGAACCACTGGATGAGGTCGAGGCGCAAGGCTATCCAGAAACCCTGCCCGAAAACGTGTTCGTCTCCCTCCGTCTGAGACGAGAGGAGCGGCGGAACGCAAGCAGCGCCGACGAAAGAGACGCGAAAGGATGACAAACGAAGCACAGTGAAGAAGAAATCAAGACCCGGATAGGAATCAGTCAATCATGAGGTCGAGTAGCACCACGCACGCCGACACGAATAAATTCGAGTAATGCCCATACCGCAGTGCGGAACTTTGCTAGTATTCCGCCCAAAAACGCAGGCCTTGGCGAGGTGCTCTCATCACATGCACCGTCCGTCAGCCCAATGGGGGAAAGCGTGAGAGCCCTCGCTCCCAAGCAGCATCTGGCAGCAGTTCTACGAACACATGTTTTCGTACAAGACGTTTCTACCTGTGCAGATTCCGCGTTGAAGGAATCCCTCGCCTCTCCTCGGCAACCAGACGGCCGCGAAGGACAAGACGCAGGCCCACTGAACCTCCCTCCTGCTGCTGACGTCGAATCTAATTCCACAAATCCGGGCAGGCCACCGGCGGTTTCGTTGTCATCGTCCGCCGTGATGGTGAGCGACGGGAATGGTTGCCGTCTCGATATATTTTGTCGTCTCCCTTCTCCCTCTCCTTCTCCTCCACCACCACCGCTACCTCCTCCCTCTTCGTTGCTCCTGCTGCCAATGGTGCTGCTGCGACCGGCGAGCGCCTCAACCTCGCCCCCACCGCCATCAAACACTTCCCGCGAGATGCTCAGCTTGTCTCGTCGCCGCGCTCCAGCCTGCTCCAGAGGAAGCTGCTCTTCTAGCATATCGCTAACTGTTCTGCAACGCCATCGCATCATGTCCGAAAGGAACCCGCTCCCGGATACGTTACCGTGACCCGCCGCCTCGGGTGCTTTCGCCCTCATCCACCGCGGGGGTCGCAAGGGTCCGTTCGAGTCGGCGCGCTGGTGGCGGTGCGCGCGGAGCCCGCTGCAGGTGTCGCTCCCGCCCGCGTCGTCATCCTCCTCCTTGTCCTCCTCGCCCATTGGCTTGCTCCTAGGGAAGGAGTTAGGCCTGCTGGCATGACCATCGCCGCTGCTGCTGCCGTTGTTTCTGGGAACACTTTTCAGGGTTCCCCCGTGGACGGGTGATACCCCGAGACTGCCGTCGCCGCTGCTGCTGATTGTCCTCCTTACGGGTACGGGACTCGTAGCGGGGGATACACACGCTCCTCCCTGTCCCTGTGGAGATTGTCTGTCACCGCCGCCGCCGCCGCCGCCGCCGCTGCCGATCTTGTCCGGCGATATTTCCGCCGAGATCTTGAGTTTCAGACCTGTCGCTCGGTAGGGCGCCCACAAGTCGCTGTGACCCTTGGTGCTCGTGGCAGCAGTGGAGTTGTTGGTCTCGCTACGGTTCCCTTCGGGGGCCGGATTGGCTGGACGAGATGCCGGTATCGACGGGGAAGAAAACCCAGCTCCTCCGCCAGAAGAGATGCCGGAGGTGGCGGTGGCGGTGGCGGTGGCGGTGGCAATGGTGGCGGCACTGCCATCCACCGCGCCCCTTACGTCTTCTCTACCCTGGCCGACCGTACCGGCAGTCGAAAGAATCTCGAGGTGGTGGCCGTTAGGACCGGCGTGTCCTGCACAGGCCCATGCGATGTCTAGTTTCAACATTATCTCCGCAACGAAGGCGACGCTGGCAAAAGGGGGCGAAAAAAAACCGGGTGCCATTGATTTTTTTTTAATGTGTATTCAGAGGTCGTGCTTCGTGATGGCGTCGCCTGACATTCGTTTGCAACGGGCGTGGCGTTCACCCCCACGCCTCGTCCTTGCGCTCACCAGAGCCAGCATCTCGGTGAACTTCGAGCAATCCCACCCGCACAATTGCTGGATAGCACCGGTACCCCTCTACGCTCATACCGCTCTCACCTGTGCCGCGCGCCGAAAGTGCCGCTACTGTCACCCAGGCCTATGGTTGTCCCGCCGTTGCCGCCGTCGAGGACATCTCCCGCCCCCCGCTTCGCCATGAAAGCGGGGCAATCCATCCCCATCCCTCCTCCCACATTCCTGCTGGGGAGGCCGCTATCGAAGGGTGCTACCCCCATCGAGTTGGACGGCGAAAGCGGCGGAAAACTGCCGCGTCCTGCCTGTTGGCGTTGCGGATGCAAAGAAGGCTCCTCGGAGGAGAAGGTGTCTGCTGCGACGGCCGCCGCTGAGCCCAACGCCGCAGCGGCGCTGGTGCTTCTACCGTAGACGTTGCCGCCACAGCCGCCGCTGCCGCGTTCGCGGTCGAGCCCGGACAACGGGCACGCAGGAGTGTTGTTGGGGTGCTGGTATCGCCTTGAGTCCGGTCGGACCCGCGTGTCCTGCCCTCTGCTTACAGGGCTCTGACAAGGGCTGGCGTGCGGACTGCTGCTTCCTCGCCGGCGAGGATCTACGGGTGGGCCTGATGCTGACGGCGAAGGAAAAAACATACAGTTGGGGGACGACGGAAAGCTCAGCAGCGAGATTTTCGCCGCCGGACCACAGCCAGCCCAAACTGTCCGTGCCAACCTACTCTCGTCCAGGGAGGACAAAATCGAGTTGAACGATTTCTTCTCGAGAGTTGCAATCAAGAGGAAAAGAAACGGGCAGCGTCAATAACGACTGAAAGAAGCACCTAAGGGAATTTTTCTGTACCGCAGCCGTTTCTGCGACCCGATATCGCGCGGGAACGGAGAGGGGTTCACGGTGAGAATAGAGTGACTAAGGTCGACTTGATTCGTGGATGTGGAACCGTCTGTAAGGCGTGTGGAGAGGTTGAACGTATTTTCGAAGGATTTCAATCGCGGTGCCGGTAGGGCAGACAACAAGGCGGACAAATTGTGGAATTCGAGAAGCCAGCGATGTCGACTACACCCTTGCTGTTCTATGTTTTCAGCTTTTTTCCTTGAGACTGTCTCCGGCCCGTGGTATGCCGGACGGCTAGTGGAGCTGCTCGGCGGCAGGGTGCTGCAGGAACTCACCTACGTCCTCCATTCTAAGCACCTCCGCAGGAGGCCGGGCTGGGGTGGAAAGCAAGGTGTGTTGCAGGTTCAGGTCCAGATGTCCACACGTGTACGCCACCTAAGAACGGCGGAGAGTGACAAAAGGTATGAGCTGGACCCGTGATGGTAAGGCAAGCGGTCAATTCACCCACCTCTCAAGACCCGGACCGCCAAGTCCAGATGACCCACGGCTTGCCCGCCTTATGGATGTACAAGACCGGGAGCGTTTACACCCGTGCCAACCTGTTCGTGCGAAACCGATATGACGGCTCACTTGAATAAACACGTGTAGAGCATATGCACCCAAAATAGGTACGTGACTACCTTAGCTTTTGACACCAGCAGCCTCAAACTCGCCCCAAGTGCAGCCGGTGAGCGGTCAAGCAGCGCAGTGACTTCCACCTTGTCGACGTCGAGAGAAAGCTTTCCGTGCAAGATGCATCTGTCATCAGCCAACCGGATCATACAGTAATGCAACCGGAACACACATGAACGCGTTCGTGATTCGAGGCGGTGAGCGGGAGCTCGGTCGGTGCGCGCATGCGCCCGCTTGTCAACATCAAGGAAACGGGATGGATGGACGGGTGCTGCTGATCGCGCCATTTTCTGGCACACCAGCAACATGCCCTGGGCCTGAAGTGGTCGACGAAATGGTCGCAAACTATATGTACGGATCTGTGCCACCTCAATGCCCTCAAGCCATCGAGCTGAGCTACAGAGAGTTATCGTAGGAAAGAACGGCGTGGTCGGGCGGATAGCCTCCATGAACGTACTCAAACGCCGGCGAGTTCGGTCGCCCCACCCTACCTCAGCCTATCCCAGAACTCCACATGCGGCGCCGGTGCTACTGTGGGGGTGGTGGGCGGTGTGCGATCGGCCGCGCCTTTCCGGCATCCCTCCTCTTTCTCTCCATCCACCCACCCCCCTTGGTCTTCGTCCGTCTCCTGATCCTTGCCATCCTCAAGCGTAGCCGACGACGCGAGCCTCACGTCGGAAGGTGACGAAGAGTACACGGACTCTATCGAACCGAGGCACCGTTGATCGCAGCCTCCATCATCGGTCGCGGCCACCCCTGTTGCCGTTGCATCATGTTCCTCTTGTTTCGACAACGACGGCTGAAGGCGAACCAGTGCTTCGACGAGTTCAATAACCGTGTCTTTCAGACACGCACCCTAGACGCAATTCAGCAGTTGGGAGAAAGGGTGGGAAATGAAGTTAGGAAGGACACGTGAAGGGTGCGGGCTTTTGCGGAAGGGCGTTCTGTTTTTTTATGCCCGGGGTGCCGAACCGAACAAACCGTGCACACGTACGCCTTCTTCCGTCTCTGTATCCCCCATGCTACCCATGGGTGTGGGGCGCAGTGTTCCCTCGCTCAAGAGGTTGGTTCCTCGTCTTCGGCTTACCGCCCAAAACCCGTCGGTTACATGGACTATTCCTCGTACTCAGTCTTCGTTGATTGCCCGTCGGGGCGTCAATGTTCGTTGAAGTAACCACACACACGCTCTGAACCCCCGCAGCTACCACACCCCGCTCCCGTTGCCTGTCTGTCGTTAGACAACTCACGTGCACGAAGGTCACTCCATTTACGCTACCCCCGAGGTCGCCGTACAGTTTCCCTGCAGTGCCGTCCGACCGGACCGAGAACTCAGCGTGGTTCGTCGTCGGATCGACGCGGCAGCCACCACCATCGTCCCCGCACAAATCTCGTCCTCGTCGCAGCAGGACTACCTCCGGTGCAGTTGTTGGTGACTGGTCTGCCTCCCTCCATGCCCCATCCGCGGCAGTGCTGTCATCGGGATCTATGGCGGTGCCTTCTGGGCCTTTTGCTGCTGCTGCTACTGCTGATACCGCAGCCACTCTTGCTAGTGGATGATGTCGAGAGGATGACGATAGGCGAGTGTACTCGTAGCGGCGCGTGCTGTTCGTCCCAGCAATCGCAACTTGATTGGACCGGGAATCAGGTTTCGAGGGAGGGGTAGGGGGATTGAGGGCCGTTCGACAAAACGGCTGTACTGAGGGGCACAGCATATTAAAGAGCCGACAATACCCATAGCAACGGCATTAGCGACAACAACACCAACAACGACGACGACAACGACGACGACGACGACCACATCTACACTCAACACAAAAATTACGGCTGTCACCTCTCGCGAAAAGGCCATCCACGACGACGTTGTCTGCGGTCACGTACGGCACCGGCAGCCCGTCCAGGTATACGGCGGTAGACGATAAGGAGAGTTTCCCCCACCCCCCCATCGTCTGCCCGTATGTCACGGGCCCTGCTAAGCAACAGCGTAGCGAATGAGACACATTGCGCGAAAAAGACGATGTCAGATGTGCCGAATGTCCGTGTTGTCGTGTTGACACTTAACGCGCTGTTGAATCCCTTGGTTTCAGAAGAAATGTTGCCAAGGTAAACACTTTCTCGCTCACGAGCAGAATCTGTTCTTTCTTGTTTGGAGATGGGATGGCGATAGCTTTGCGATAGGTTGCCGGGTGCTAAGCATTTCCCCCTTTCGCTGAGGTTGTTCGTGGGGAGGGTATGCACTGATCGTTTGTGCCTCTACCGCCAGCTTGGCGAACAAAGATTAGCCTTGTCCTTCGTAGAGCACCTCTTGAAGGTGCTTAAGATGCTCAAATCCTTCGCGTGGAGACCCTTCGAATGCATCAAAGAGCGGTCGTATTGAGGAATACACGGGACGCCGAACACCAGGAACAGGGTGGTCGTATCTAAGGTACAGTATTGTGGGGGTGCTGGTGCTTGCATGGTGTAGCTTGTGGCCCCATGCCTACAAAACAGTAGCGTCCCGGTTTTCCTTCAACAATGCGCGCGGCGACAACGATGCAGAAATATAGTGTCGCCCGAACTTTGAACACGCTGCATTTGGCAGGGTTGTCAGCAGTACGTCGCCAATTTGGTTGTCAAGGCAGCCCTAGCTTCGATATCTCCATGCATCACACTAACTAACCTGGATGCTCGTCAAGCTCCCGAACCGCGGCGAGCAGCGTCGGCTGAGGTTCTTTTCGCGAAAGCTGGCGATGCCAACGAGCATCCACCCGTCCGTGGGTTCAATCACACACGGTACCAGGCCCAGTTCGTTGGGACAAAGGTGCACAAGGGAGCGGGGGGATTAGTGGTCGTTGAAATTGGGTGTGAAGGTGGCGGAGACGCCGGAATATTGCCGCAAGGCGGTGGGCAACGCTTTCGAGCTGCGAACTACCCATTTTGCTGCGCGTACGCCGTGCGGTACAATTTTAGGTGCCTTTCAGTGTAGATCAAGCGGCAGCAATGACGAGCGCCAGAGGCAAGCTAACGATGCAAGACGCTCCTGTCCATCGGGTAAGAACGGACGACACCTTATATCGAAGTTTTCCTGTACCAGAAGAGCGAAAGTGGAAACAATGCTACACGCGTCCTCACCCCGTTCTACATGTACTGCGAACCCCATCAGGGTTCCTGCCTGCCTCGTCGTCTCCCCTCTCCCACTTAGAACACACAACATGACGCCACCCTCATCAAGACAACAAGCAAATCCCGAATTTTCCTATCGCGCTGTCAATTCATCGCCGAGACGACTGGCTTCGGCTTACCTCGAAACTGATCTCGCCGAGAGTGAGCACGGCAAGCGGTTTCGCCCTCGCTTCATTTCCGCCGAACCCGTCCCCTCGAGCTTCGCGGGCACTCTCGGTCTCCGAAATCCGGTCGCCTACATTTCTGCCTCTGTTTTTGTCGATGCCGAATCCCCTACCGTCGCCAAACCCTCCCGCTTCATCACCGCCTTCACCGGCGGGAACCTGAGTGATCCGCTTGCTGCGACGCTTGGGGGTGTCGGCTCCGGTGGCCGCCGGGCTGGCTGAGCTCCGGCGGCTGGTCGACCTGGCGTTGTCTCTACCCCCGTGGTCACTGAGATCGCTCCCGCTGCCGCTGCTGCCGAACCCGAGAAGGGAGGAGAGGCTCGCTCCGCTCTGCCTCAAGCCCTTGACCATCATTCTCGGGTGCTGCGGCCACGGCATGCTGCTGCTGTTGATGCTGTTGCCGCCTTCGCCACCGATGCTACCGCTCCCTCGGCTCAGGTTTAGCGCAGAAAAAAATCCCGAACCACTGTGACGACCTTCGCTTGTGCTAGCGATGCTCCCGAATTTGACCGCTCCTTGCCGCTGGAGTATTGAGCGCGGGAGTGGAGACGGAGGAGAACTCGAGGGAGGGGCTGGCGCAGGACAATTGGGTGGCGGCGTTCGCTCTGGCGGTGGTTCCCTTTCCAGGTGGAGGGTGAACCCTCCCAGTAGGACGGACGTGGCGCAAGAGTCCGACGGCGAAGAGGGAGAAGTCTCGCCTGGGCGTTGGGTTGCACCGGGGTGATACCGGCCGGGGTGGGTTGGGGCATGGTGCGCGATGAGGAGAATGCGGAGTGTAGAAATTGTTTCCAACACGAAAATATGTTGACTTGGCATCCGGCCAAACAAGATGTAGTCTAATCGTCTCGAAAACAATCGATTCCGCATCGTTCATAATGCCAACTGTGTGCAGCAGAGAAGGGTGACTACACCGCGTGACACCCACGATTTGCGAACGAACGATTGTGGGAAAGGTCTGTACACTTGTGATTCTGTGCCAGAGAGTTACCATTGTGTGGAGATCTCCAGCGCGAAGCTCATCTCCACCCTCCACCGCCGACAAGGTTGGCGAGAACCCAGCCGTCGCCGTACTAGCATTGCAGGAATGCTACAATGGATTGATGGTCGCAGGAGTAGGTCCTGGAGCATAATATCACAAAGGTCTACGTATTTCTATGAACCTCACCTAGAGCTTCTTGAATCCCCTTCCACTGCAGAATCGCCGCGACCTGCAAGTCACCCAGCTGAAAACGAGGGGGCAGAGACACCGCTATGTGCCCCGCGCGTACTTCGATGCCCGTCCTCGACCACAACCGCGGCTGCGACAGTTCCCCTCCCACGCCTCCGTCCCCGTTTCCATGTCCTCGCCGCCCCGCGCTCCCTCGCCGTGCTTTCACGTCGAGAGAGGAAGTATTTTCCGTTCCTCGATTCTCCCGTCTTCTTGCAGTACCGCTGCACCCGTTGTCGCTATCGTTGCTATGGCCCCGGCGGACTCCCCCCGCTTCTCCTTTTGGCCCAGCCCCCGGCTCACCACTACCGCTGCTGAGCGTGGCCGAAGCAACACCACCAGTCGCAGCCGAGGCAAGCTTCTCGTGCTGCTCTTGACGGGGCAAAGACCAATCAAGGCTTCGTCGGAACCTGAAGGAGCTGATGGCAACGATTCTGGTCATTCTGGCAAGGCTGTCGTCGCCATTGCCCGGGTGACCGTCACCGGTGCCCTCGTTGTCACTACCGACTCCGTCCCCTTTCGACTCCGTAGCCTCTCCTCTTTCCCCCCTTGTCGCCTCCTCGCCCACTGAACCTTGCGCCTGGGAACTTTCTACGACAAGCGGTTTGGTACTGCCACTATCACCACCCCTTGTCGCCGATTCCATCAATCCACACCATGTCCGTTGCTGATGCTCCCGACGCGCGGGGATGGCCTCTCCTTCGCTGCTTGCCGTGGTGGCGGAGACTCCCACCGCTGCAGCCGTCGACAGTCTTTCGTCATCACCTTTCGGAAATCCAGCCATGTCTGTCTTGTCTTTGTGGGGATTAGTACGAGCAGAAGCTGCGGTTGGATCACAACTGCCGTCGTCCCCTACCCCTTCTTGCCATGCTCCTCTAGACGCGAAGTGAAGACCGGGCTGTTGCTTGAGGTCGGCCTGCAGTGGTCGCGGTGAAGGCACCAAGATTTCCAGCAAGTCCGCATCCATCGTCATCTCCGCGTCGTGGTCCGGCGCCAGCTTTTCATCCTGCGGCGTCGATGACCTGCCGTTGTCCCTCCTTCCTTCTCCTTGAATTTCTTCGCGTCCACGAGATGACGGGAAAGCTGTCTTCGCGAGTGGATTCCTATCATGGCCAGAGTCAGTATTGGAGTCCCGATGTTTTCCATGGCGCTTCTCCTTCTTCATGCTCATGTTGAAGTTAGCGAGGCGGACGTCAGCCCGGTGGTGGCACCATGGGGCATGTAACGGCGCCGATGAAGGGGGAAAACACGGGGCCCCTTCCTTGCCGCCCCCATGGTCGTTGTCCGGGCTACGGGGTCCACCTTCCATTGCAGGCTGCCGGAAAGAAAGATCGTCTAGAGACGAGGTGGAAGAGAAGGAGGAGGATGAGGAACGCGAGGTACGCGCCAGCGGCCGCTGGGACGGAAGCGGCGACCGTAGCGGGCGGCCTTCCGTCACCTCCGAAAGCGCGCAGCGGAGGTATGCTCCACGCAAGAGCACTCGTCTTGTGAACTCTACCGGGAGTGGCGGCGGTGGGAAGCCCACAAGGTGGTCGATCGTCGATACCAATCGCTGGGACAGACGTAGGAGCCTGCGTTGGGCGAGGTTTCAGGGGGAGGGAATCAGACATGGATTGCTGGCCTTACGTGATTTAATGACCGCGAAGGAGCTCTGCCAAGAAACGTTTTTTGCAAGGGTAATTCTGGACCTATCTGTCGGCATCTGTGGCAGCTTTTCATCTGTAACCCTAACGCTTGCTCTCAACACACGACACGTGCCACTGCGTTCTTAGCCTCCCGAAACGTTAACACAACGTATTTCGCACTCTGGTTTTTGGCGTGCAACTTCTCACATGCAGTGAACCGAGCCAGACCACGCCATGTCTGTCCGATCAATGATAATGTGCTCTGCCTTTACAGCTCCCCTTGCTGCAGGCGGCGGAGGCGAGCGCGGGACCGCCCCCCCTCCTCCAACAGGCGCCGCTGAGGCCGCCGTGGCAACATGACCATCGCCGCCTCTCGTTACCGCAGCAGTGGGCTGATCGCTCCCATCGTCATTAACCTCGTCGGTATCACCGGTGGCACCGTTGCGGACGCCGGGTTGCGCTTGAGTGCCGTCGCCGGTCGTTTTGGCGTCGGGTGCGGGCCCAAGAACCGGTAGTACATTGCCAACGCGGACCTATCCGACAGTGGTAGCGGGTAGAGTTTAGTTTCGCTTTTTTCTCGCTAACGGTGTGGGTGTGCATTGGCACAATGCGAACAAGAGGTATTCTTCCAATTTGGAGTACGAAACATTGACAACGCAAGGGAGAGTGCGATACATTTTGGGGCTGGTCTAGGCTTTATTGTGGCCCTCCCTTGCCAGTCCAAGGTATGCATGGCATCGCAAGATCAACAGGTCGATGACGATAAATCACAAGAATGCCACTCTTTACAGCGATACCCGCAGAAAAACAACCCGGCACCGCAGGTTTGGTTCTTCCTGAAAAGAAGCATTTCCCGATCGAGACGATGTTTGTTGAACAATCTGCTCGCTCCTGCACATGCCACCAAACTGCATGGCAATATTGTGTACATGTACTTGACATGCGCAACAACAATAACCACAACCGCAACACTACCAGCACGATGCCAGTTCCAAGCATACCTGAGCGAAGGAGAGCCCTACTAAATTGGCGATACGCTCGCAGTACTCCTCCCCGATGGACTCAGTTCCAGACACCTTTTTCCGCGACGGATGGAGAAACAACAGCAGCGCAGGAAAGTCCTTGGTCACAGCGAGGGCCGTGAGGGCCTGAAATCGGCATCCATGCAACTTCAATGTACCCGGTTGCTGTATTCGCTCATGCGGTTGCAAAGGAAATTTGAGCACAACGGCATGTAGACCGCCTTTGCGATAGCTGTCAGTTTCGCCACCTCGAAGCAAGAAAGGCTCTTCCCAGCAACCCTTTCGCTCACACGCTTAGAGCAACTCCAACTCGATGTCCTACGGTAGTTCAATTTGAGGAGCCTCTAGGTACTTGTGGCTTGAGTACAACAACAGGACAAATAGACACCATGGCGTCTTGGTTCGACGCTCGAGGCGTGTCTTGACATCACTGCAACAGGTGGGAAAACCAGACGTCCACCGCGCCGGCATTAGCATGCACATACCTCCTTGCATGAAATCGCAATCGTAACCCTTGCCGTCCTTCCCAAGGAGTCTTTCTCCACCACCTTGTCCATGCACACGCCGCGGAATTCCAGCTTGAGTCCGCTCCATGTAGCGGCGTCGCCGTCGTCATTGGCACGGCCTTCGGCAACGCCTAACGGAACTCTTTCGGAACGGCCTTCCGTAGACGTTTCGACGACGCCTATTGCAGCGGTGTTGTCGTCCCGGTTGTTGCTGTTGCTGTTGCTGTTGTCGCCGTCACGAGCGCCGCCTTGGGGGGGAAGAGGGCAGCCGGTGAAAATGGCCGAAGCCCGCGTTCTCGAAGCCGCCGTTGCAGACGCCGCGAAGGGAGGAGGAAGCCTGTCGGCGAGGGAAACGCTCGCCCGAGAGCACTGCATCAGGCGAGCGGGAAGGTCGAGGACTAGTGTGAAGGATTTTTGGGACAATACTGAAGCTGAACCTTCCTTCCGGATAGCTTATTCAAGGGAGAGAATCAATACCAGAGCAGCAATACTTGCGCAGCAGCTGGTTGCACTTTTGTTTCTAACGACGCTTGCAATGGGACCCTGTGATCGATCTCAGAGGAAAGGGGAAAAGGGGGAGAACGGTTGCGAATCGATCGAGAGCGACTGCATCATCCGTAGCTTCTCATTTCTTTCCCATTAAATGCCGCTTCAAAGAGTTCGCATGCCTTTTGAAGAAAGAGATTCATCGAGGGGGTGGTGGTGAACGTGGGCCACTTGCTGCTAGAGTCTAACGTGTTGTAGGTGGCTTCGGGTTGTAGGAGAACGCATGTAAGGCGTGACGTCGCCGAGAACAAATTGTGTGAATACCCACTCGCACATGCAAGAAATCGGGCTCACCTTGAACAACATAGAGGTGTCTTGCACCACGGCGACCGAATCCGAGCGCGAGCCTGCCAACGAACGGAGCAGCTTGTCGCAGGGGGCCGGGATGCGGCTCTTGCCGCGATGCTCGGTTTGTTCCTTTCGTTTGCGCAGACAAAAACAAATCCCGAGAGTGCATGTTAACGGGGGCGCGGCGGAGGGGTGTACTTGTGTGTTAACGTATTTAAGACAATGGTTCTCCTCTCGACCAGTTCAGTCCGTTGTCCATCAGACACATGGGTTATTTCCGCACATGGCACTAGTGGCGACGACAGACCTACTGTAACACGGCGACGGGTGCAAAGTATACTGGAAAAGCAAGTAGACTCATGCGGTCGGCAGGTGCCTTTTTTCGCACAACTCTTGCCGTACCTGTTGAACGCTAACGTTGTCCGCCTCAAAGTCGAACCGTCCCGGGTGCCCAGGCCGTCTTTTCCCGCCAACACCAGCCAGCTTCTCTTCGCTGGTTGCCTTACAAGCTATGGTGGGAGGGTTTTCGAGGAACTCCTCCACAGCAACCCTCACGGTGTCAATCGACACAATCTTTCGAGTACCGTCGGTCCTCGCTTGGGGTGTGCCACCTGTGCCGTTGTATATTGTTGTCCCGTTCCGAAAGCGAGACGCCAACGCATGCAACGGTAACGTACGATCGTGGTGGTAGGGCCGAGGGGGTGCTCGTGGGGGGTGATGATGCAGCCACGGTATCGGATGGCACCTAAAGCTGAACACACCTATTTTTTTCCGAACTATTAATGTGACCAAAAACCGCAGTAGTCAGCCAGAAGAAGTTCAAGTTCAACCCTTGCAGCAATCTAAGGCTTGCGCTTTGTAGTACTTTGTTCAAAGGTAAACAGAACACACGCGCCGTGTCCTGTTGATAAGTCAACAATTCGACCGTGACACAGTCGGCAGCAGTGACGTGAACCAACAGAGAGGAAGCGGGGAGATGGGGTTTTAACGAAGCGGGGGAATGTTTTGATTTTAGTGTCGGGATTCATGTATCGCGACAAAATTCTCTCTCACCAGCGAGGATCAGATTCGTTTTCCGTTGCACCATCGCCGTCAACGCTTCTGCCTCGTGCACACCCCGCAGGTTCAACCACCCCGCCAGCCTAGCGTCCACAGTGCCGGTTACCGCGCTTGCTTCGACCTTGACCTCGAGTACGTGAAAGTCCACGGTGTCAGAGGACGCACCCAGCTGTGGTGACGGCCACATTAGCGGCAGCCGCTCTCGGCTCATCAGCCACTGGCGAAAACTTCGGAGGGTTCCAAGGAGCGTCCGCACACACCCCGGCAGCAGCGAAGACGGCGACGGTCCTGAAGGGAGCGGCGGAAGCGACTGCTGTTGAGGCAGCAAACCGTTTGGCGGTTGTTCGATCGGGACCTTGTGTTTCGGTACCTCCTTCGGTGTAAAGACGATGGTGGGGACTGCGGTGAGGCTGCTGACCACTACAGAGGACAAGCTTGTTGCGGATTCTTCCACGACATGCTTCGCCGCCCCCGCCACCGCCTCCACCGCCCCTTCCGAAGGGCGGCACTGGACACTGAGCTCGCCGAGGCGCACCAAGGCTCGACCACCAGTTGGGTCCGAGAACTGAGCTGAGCTGCCCGTCCAAAGCATCTCCCGGAAGGCTCTCGCCAGCTTGAGCTTCGTGCCGTCCTCTTCGTCCTCATCGGTGGAAGCGAGAGTGCTCCAGGTCACATCTAGAGCGTTGTTCCCTGAAGATCCTTGCGCTTCTTCTTCTTCTACATCTGTAGATGTGAAGGAGATGGTAGCGGGGAAATCCGGAGCCTCCCCGCCTTTGCCGCGGCCGACGATCTCGAGCCTACCCAGCCGGCCAGACATGACGCCGTCCGCCGCGGTGGCGGGCATACCGTCGCCGTTCCTTGCGCGATCATCACTGCACCTTAGGGTGAAAACGCCTATCGATAGCGACGCACACGCCGGCAGTAACCTGGCATCCACAACGACGTTGAGGCCTCTAGGAGGCGCGTCCGTGTTTCCCGATGGTGGCTGGGTTGGCGACCCGGAGTACCTTTGCGCTCCCCGCACTTTCCCTTTGGCTCTCGCCGCCGCCGCCGTCTCCGCCTCGACCACTACCTCTGCTACCCCTTTCAATGTCTCCGTGTGCTCGCCTGACTCACAGGCAGGGGTAGTGAGGCCCAGGGCAATGGGGGTCGATACATCTTCAAGAACTGATTTGGCAACCCTCAGGTCATCGTCAATCTCTGCTGACGACCCTTCGACGAAGGCCGGTTCATCGCTCCTGCTAGCCCGTTTAGGGCTGCAGTTGGCGATACCTTCGTGAACCCTACTCCTCGAGTCTTGTCTAGGAATGGTTGGCGCGCCGCTCCCGTGGACGCCGCCACCGCTAGGGTGCTCGGCGACTGATGGCGTTGCCTTCTCGAAATGTTGTTCACGCGCGTTGCCGCCGTTTTCCCGACAAAAGGAATCGCTCTCGTCCAGCGAGATCGACTGCGATATACTGCCCTGTGCTTGGTGATCTTGCGCCCGTCTTTGGATCGCTAGCAAGTTTTCTAGCCAGGATAATTCTGAGGTGGCATCGACTTTCCCCAGCGAGATAGTGAGGGAATGCAGCCCCTGAAACTGCCTTGTCTGGAAATTGTGTAAAGCCGGAAAGCCGCCTGCGAGGAAACTGGGACACGAATGGTAATGCGGGCAGGGAAATGCGGGCAGGGATACAATATCGCCATGCACCAATCAGCACGATAGGGGGATGCAGCACCCCAGAACACAGCCGTACCGCAATAGAAAAAGGTTGCACAAACAAAACAGCAGGACTAATTTGCACATAAAAGATCTCATCGCCTCCATGATGCACAGCAGGTGAGAGTCAGCAGCCAGTCGTAGTCAACGTACCCTTTCGCCTCCGTGCGAGAGCAGTCAGCCACGACTGCGATGTGAAGGCCGTCCAATGTGATGGAGAGTCTGTGTGCACTCCTCCTCCCGCCACTGAAGTGCGGCGGTGATGGCGGCGACGGTTTTCCTTCAACCGGCGCGCTATTTCTCGGGTACATCCTTGTCACTCCGTGTCTCCCGCGGGACGGTTTGACCTCGGCTTCAATGGCGGACTCCACGAGCTTGATATGTTGGAATCGAAATGACACCTTCTCCCAGCCCGTGCAATGCATCGAAAACGGGGTGGCGTCGTGAACGGAATGGAAGGATGGTCAAGTTTCTCGACTTCGGTTTGAGCACGTGATATGTGCTTTGGTTGGGGTGAAACGAGGGGCTGTAACGGTGAGGCTCTCACTCAAGAAAGGTTGGCCTAGATTTTGAGGGTTCGATTACCACCAAAGTACATACTTACAAACTTAAACCTCACATTATACCCTACGTCTGCTACTGCATGTTTCAGATTTAAGAGGACAAAACGCACCAGGGACGGGGGGATCTGAAGAACTGCGGAACTCTCTCGAGTGCCTCTGCCGCATGTAGCGGTACGGAATTCACGGTTGAATGAGCAATAGCAAAGATTGACTTCCCAACGCGTGTACCTAATCAGTCTAGATGATACCACGCACCGTTAGGCAAGACGATCGCTTGGAAACGAAGCCCACCAGCCGCATTCCCGTAAGCTCGATCGCCCGAACTCCAGAAGTCGCATGGGTAGAAGCGGCTTTTCTGGCGCATCCACCATCTTTGAGAGGATTGTCGCCGTTGCCGTTGTCCTCATGTTCAGAACCTGCCGGCCGCGTACCACAAGTCCCAGCTTGATCGGGGGCAGCTAACTCCACCCGGAGATCACAAACTTCCATCGCAACGAACCGTGCGCAAAGCAGCGCGGCTGCAGGTAGACGTATAGGCTTCTTCTGGTTTCTGCCCTCCTCGAGGTTGGGGTTGATCGAACTTTTTCCGGGTCTGGTCGACTCTTTGCTGGCAACAGAGGGCTCGAGCAAGGAAGCAGGTAGTGACACACTCGCGTTCTCCACGGTGAGCACGATGGCCTTACCCTTGCCCTTTCGCAGAGGCTGCCGTAGTATCATCTGCTTCAGGCGCCGAAACCCAAACGAAAGCCTTCCGATCCGCACAATGACTCCATCCGACAAACGGACCTCGACGCCCCGAAAATATAAGCGGAGACTAATGCTCTGAAAGGTGATCGAGGTGATCGTTGTTCTTGGTGCTGATGCATTTTTTTCGCCATCTTCTCCCCCTGCAGTTGGGTGCCGAGAGCAGACCAAGCCGCTCGCTTTTTGGTCTCGAAGGAAGTACTTCAGCCCTGCGCTCACAATCCACGCGCTTAGTTCTCTCTGAAATACGGCGGCGGTCACCGCAAGGCCGACGAGGCCTGGCAGCAACGCTCCCATCATGCACGTTAGGTCGGAACCATTCGGGTGTCAACTACGGAATAATTTGTATGTGTAGACGGTCGACTGGTTAGCTCTCGCAACCCGTTGACTTTCCGCGTCTCGTGTTTCATTGTTGTGCGCTTGCTACGCAAATATTGCGTAATACAAAGACCGTGCGCGACAGACTTGAACATGAACAAAAATCACGGAAGATGGAAGACAGACTGGCGGTTACAGAGGACGCCAATGTACACTATAAACCCCTATCACCCGGGGGGTATATGACTATTGTTGCGTACCCCCTCATCTTGGGGCTTCAAGCCTGATGCCCCTGATCCGTGAACAAAATTGCGTCTCCGCTCCCAACAAATCCCACGCCAGCCTTCTCACCCTCCAAACTCCAAACTCCACTCATCTTTTACCATGGCTTTTAAGGCGTTCGCTGTGTTGGTGGCTCTTTGCCTGGTTTCGCTGGCGTCTGGGTTCGTCGCGCCAACTGCCGTCGCACGGAATGGTGAGCCTCTCCTTGGTGTTCATGCGATTGATTCCTGGGGACGGTATGTTCAAGTGTGTTTCCTCGCTGGGAGGGTTCGGTATAGCCCGTCCCCCTCCCCAAGACTGATCCCCGGCGAACAGGGCCTTTGGTGCGCCATGCGTATACAGCTGAGTTACAGCGGGGAGCCGCACGAATCCGTCCGTGTGCATGCATGAAGCGAACCGGGCGCCCTGAAATAGCGACGGCTGAGTCTTGTTTTTGCTGGGGGCGAATGAAATGTCGCCGAGTCACACATTCATGCTCTCCTCCTCGTGAGGGTCGCCCCAACGCAAGGCTGGCAGGAATTCCCCAGTCCCCCTCGGTAACCGAGTCGCTGCGGAGTACACCGGCCGCTCTGTCTTGTAAAAGGAGGTCTGTAGTCTCTGGTGTGTGTGCGTACACACACAAGACATGTGTTTTTTCTGACTCGTTCGGATGGCTGTTGCGGTCGTCCCTTTTTCCCTACGCACGGCTGCGCGTAGGTACCAAGTCAATCACGGTTGTGTTTCTGAATCAAACCTGTTTGTGGGAAAACCTGGTGCAAGCCATAGCTATGCTTCGAACTCGGGCGAAGCCGCCCTGACAAGCTGGTACATAAACTATCTGGGTTGAACGCCTAACACATCATGATCGAAGCGCTCACCGTGACCAAAAATGGCAATGGTACAATATGCTGAACCTCCCAACGGCTTCAATAATGAGCGAAACACGCCCCGCCGCACACCGAGCTGACTCACCCCAGCGGCTGCTTTACGGCCGTCGTAAGATTATAGTCGCGTGGGCCTGGACGGCAATAGACATGCTCATGAGTTGGTTGTTGGTGGTGGTCTTGCATGTGTGTACCCTTGGCATCGTATACTACTGCTGTGTACAGTGCCACTCAGAAACGCAAGCAGCGTTTTGGCAGCAGTCCACGGAATATACCAGGCCGCCTTTGTAGCAGACGCGGACGCTACACAGCAGTGAATACAGCAGTAGCAGACACGTTTAGCGGTGAGGATACGTCACCACATTCTCCGGTACGTGCAGGAATATCCTCGTGTCACTGAACCCTTTTCTACGTTTCGCAACACATGGGACGTCCATGGGGTTGGTGTATGCACGCATCCGCGGTGGGTTATTTACCAGCCGATTCCCCCAGATTGAGACGGAGATGGGACTGAATGGGCTGACCATGTTGTTTGCACCCACCTTTTTGCGCTCACGTGGGGGTACCCGGTGGTCTTGGAGACAACCAAGCAAGCGCTGACAGTTCTCAAGAGGCACGCGGGAGGAATTTCCGAGACCGCAGTTGCAGTTACGAAGTACATATTAAAGTACAACAGTACAGTGAGCCTCGCCCCGCCTCATCCCCACACCTTGAGTAATGTACACTCTGGCTTGACCTTGTTATGCTACATAGCCCGTGTGCCAGCGGCGGTTGTGCCGCCTGTTTGTGAAGTATCTGCAAGAGAGTACAGAATGACGGCAGAGTGGGTAGTGGGTCAAGTCGTCGAAAGGGCAATCTTCGCCCCGGTTACTATTTTGGTGGGGTTCCTGGGCTGGTACTCACGACATCGTGTTGCTGCTGCATTTATCACAGTTTCGTGTACATTTTGCAATTCGAAGCAACTCGTGTCCCGAAGCCTGCGTAGTGTGTTTTTTCGCCATATTCACATGAAACCCTCCGCGGGATGATGGTTTTTTTGTATGATGGCGCCAGCTTTCCTGCTTTAGTGAACCGCTACATTCTGAAACACATTCAGCGGTCCCGATAATGCACACGTCTGTTCGGTACTTGTTTCTCTATACAGATACTAGTGAGCCTCAAAGCACGACGCCACAGTAGTGACGGGTTCAGGAAACCGGGCGGTCTGCTTGCATATGGCGTTGGAATCGTGTAAGCCTTGGACAACGGTAGTCGTCGTTGTGGTGAATTTGTAGCTGGCACCTGTTTTTATATTCGGAGACAATTGATCACGAGACACGGCTGTCCAACGTTGTGGCTGGGTATGCCTAGCATACACATGTTTACGCCCTCAGTTCCACTCATCCTTTCCACATCAAAAACGTGTGATTTGTTACACACATTATACGACGCGAGATATCTAATCCCTCTGCCGCGAGAACCAGGGTGAGGGAATGTATATATGATTGTTCAGGATTACATTTCGTGGGGATGTGGCAGATGGATGTGTACCTATCGGCGACGTTCTCTCTCGAAGCACTTGGCATCATCCGTCGTTGTTATTTTTTTGTCTGGCGTCCGTAACTTGCTCGTGGACCCTCTGAATGCCCCCCCACCCCCAGATTTATTTGCGGAGGGTTCACAGGGTGGTATTCATAGCTTCCCCCGAACAGCCACATTTTGTCCTGGCCTATCGCGTCGAACAGTTGCTCGACACGTGATTGCTGCGGACTTGCTTGGTCTCTGATTGGCTTCGCGTTGTCGTTGAACATGGTGAGACCCCGGTGTCAACCACAAGGGCCTTGTGATTTTGGTTTCCAATCAAAAATTCTCGGCGCCTGCCGGCAAAAACAACGACCCAGCTCGTCTCGCGATTTGAGGACATGCCCAGCTGTGCATGCACACATACATGCCCAACGACCCCCCCCCCCCCCCCCCCCCCCCCCCCCCCCCCCCCCCCCCCCCCCCCCCCC